CTAAATGAGCTTCTTCTCTTGGGCTTCTTCCTTTCTTGGGCCATTTGAATTGGATTGTATATTTTGTGCATCAACAACTTCATTACAATGGGATACCAAATGAAGGCTATTGGTTGACACTGACACATTAGACATTAATTTAGTAAAATGATTTCATTGAATTAATTAATGATGAGTTGTCTCTAATAAAAAGTACAGAAATGCTAGATGTAATACTTTGACAATTTGATGTGTTTTTAAAAAATGATTGGAGGGAAATTTGTTTATTTTTTTTAAATTATTAAATGGTGTGTTACCACGTGATAAAATGTAAATAATGATATACGTGTAGCATAATTGTAAAAATATATGTTACGTATATAAAATTTCTTGAAAGAAGGAAACCCCCAAAAATATATATATATATATATATATAGCCCATGAAACAAATTAGAGTTATGCTATGGGGTACAGGAATTTGAATTCATGTACCTATACGGGATAGACACATCAGGGGGTGGGTGGGTAGAAAAATCAATTTTTTATTCACATGGGTCCCACCCTCATGTGAGTAAAATTCAAAATTCTATAGAAATTTTCTGTACTCACATCATTTTTGAACAAATTATTTGGACCTTGGGAAAATAAAATTATAAGTGGGACCAGTTCTTGAAGTTTTTGACTTATAATAAAGTTTGCCATTAACAACGTTGGAAAAAACAACATCAATCCAGGAAACTTTTGTTTCATACTATCCTTTTACCGTTCCAGGGTTTACACGATATTGACTTACGGTTCCATTCACTTATTAGGAAAATGACTACTTTGATTTGCATTTTTCTAGTGAACAAAATGCCATGTTTAAAATATGTTGAGGCTTATATTTGAAGATCGCACGCACTTGGAGCATTTCTCATGTCTTACACGTTATTCGCTAATCAGTTGGCTCCGCCACTACTCGGATTCAGTGGTGACTTAAGTCAACTATGAAGTTTTTTTTTCAGTAAACACAAAATATGATGATAAATTATGTACTTCATTACAATGGGATACCAAATGAAGGCCATTGATTGACACTTTGACATATTTAAACATTAATTTAGTAAAATGATTTCATTGAATCAATTAACGACGAGTTGTCTATAATATAAAGTACAAAATTGCTAGAAGTAATACTTTGACATTTGATGCGTTGTTAAAAAATAATTAGAGGGAAAGCTGCCTATTTGTTTTAAACTATTCAATGGTGTGTTGCCATGTGGCAGACCTTGGAAAATAAAATTAATAAGTGGGGACTAGTTCTTGTAGTTTTTGACTTATAATAAAGCGTGCCCTTTACAACGTTGGAAAAAATAACCTCAATCGAGGAAACTTTTGTTTTACGCTATCCTTTTACCGTTCTAGGGTTTACATGAAATTGACTTATGGTCACTCATTAGGAAAAAGAGTACTTTGATTTATTATAAATCATGTAATAAAATTTGACAAAGTTTTCATCCACTCACCGTAATCACCTTTTTTATCCGAACTTGAGATAGATTATGACAATCGAATACAAAGTTGCATAAAGTTTGCTTGTTGGTTAACTTTTCAAATAAATAAACGACATTAACAAACTATAGCTTAAATTGGCACTTGCGGATTTTATTTCGTTGAAATAAAAAAATAATAAATTAGTTTAGTGACTTTTTTGTGATGGATTTAAGGTGAATTAACGACCGTTCTTGCAATATTTATTGAAGATACTGTGAAGATGCGAAACTTTGCAAGTGAGAAATTCAACACAAACCTTTAGGCCCCGTTTGATTGGCGGAATTTTTCACGGAACTAGAAAAATATTTTCAATTTTCCAGTTTTTTGACTGTTTGATATACGAAATTTTTCACGGAAAATGTTTTCCTTCCCCACCCCCCACCCCCCACGCGCCTATTTTCCAGGTTTTTGTTGAAAATTTTTTCCCTCATTTTCCAGGTGGCTGCTGAATTTTATTTTTTTGGCAATGGAAACAAATGTCATAACCAATTGTAAAAAAAAAATTTCACTTTAATGGATAATTTCCATGTAAAACAAAGTCAAATGAATACTAAATTTTGATAAAAAAAAATGATTTTTTAGGAAATATATATATATATTTTTTAACTTTTGGCAATGGAAACAAATTTTATAACCAATTGTGGAAAAAATTATCACTTAACAATTTTCATGTAAAATAAAGTCAAACGAATAGAAAATTTTCAAAATTTTCGGATAAAAAATTATACCAATCAAACACACTTAATTAACAATTCCCTACAAAACAATTTTTAGACAATTATTTTTCTTGGAAATCATTTTCTCTTGACCAATTTTCCACACTTGCAATCAAACGGACCAGAAATCCAATGCAAATTTTTGAGCATCAGCATTATTGTTTCAATTGGATAATTTGTTTTAATTGCACTTGAGTTTTTGACACTTGATATTTCTTCATATGCATCACACGCATCAAATATTTTTGTAGGGAACTAATATATATTTTACTTACCCAGTAATGGAAAGTTTGGTAATCTCGTCCTGTTTGATGTGGATTAAATTAGATTTTTAGTAGATTTCTAACAAAGTTGATAAAATATTTGTTTGAAAAGTCGTGAATCCAATAAATGTGTAACTAAAATTACTTGTTGATTTTGACTAAAAATTATAACCAGATTCAATCTGTGCACCAAAACAGGGCATCATATGTTACTACTACTACTTTGATTTTAGATTGAGGAAAAGTGTTTATAATAATTAATTAAGGGTTTGATTTGCTCTAAGTTGTATGGTCCATTCTTTTAAATAAATGGATTCTTCATTCTTGGATAAAGTGGAAAAGAGGGCATGACCAATATTGTTGTGGAATATCATGATTACTTTTGCATTTCACATTTGCAAGTTGAATAATGTTATCTGTTATTAGTAGAGAGCGTCATCAATTTAGACAATGTAAATAACATTACTCTTGCAATTATAAACGAATAATATTACTTATCATCATGATATGAAACATCTGTAATATGGCAACCCATTATTTCTTACATTACTCTCTCTCTTTCCTCCTCATCTCTCTCATAAAAATTGAACTGTTCAATCTCATTATTCCACAAAAAAATTGCCACATCATATATGTTTCATTATCATGATAATAAATAACATTATTCAATATATACATATTAAAAAAAAAAAAACTAATACATTGTGTCGTGAATGGAGTTTGCATGATCGGTAATTAATCTATATCGCGAATGAGGGCGATACCCCTCCTGATCTCACATGCTAGGTGGGCTTCCAACACATTATTAGTAGAAAATTATTGCTGAAAGAATTATATGTATTTTTTAATGATAAAGTTTCTTAATCATGGTCTATTATACTTTATTCCAATTCTTCCTATGCCAAACCTCCCCCTTTAATGTGCTAGCTTTACTTAAAATAGAAACTAGATCTATCACAAAAGTTGAGGTGGATTAGAGTCTTGTCATTTTTCAAACAATAGTAAAAGCATTTAAAACCAATATAATTGGATTCAGAATAACTTTCTAAATATAGTTGTAATGTGCCTTTTAGCATCTTTCTTGATTTCTTGAGAACCCCGCGTACATATATATATACATACATACATATATACATACATATTTGATTGATGAAATTTTGATCTAATTAAATTTTGTCAAATCATCATTATGTAAATTGTTATATACATGTAGTACAATCATATAAATAGAACGAAGACAAGCTTATAGTGCTATAAATAGAAGTTTGTTAGTTTATTACAAAGGGCATATATGTCAAAATAAGAAAAAAGCAACCTTTGTAGGGTTGAATACTTGAATTGAATAAACAAAGTTGTCCACTCCAATAATACCTATGACAATAGGCAACCGCATCCAACCCTTTGAACAAACTCACTCCTCAGCCCCAAAGAAAACACTAAAATGGCTCCCTTACCCATCCCTATATCCCCCAAATTCCTTCAAGAAACCGCCTTCTAGCACCTGTTTGATGCGATTTTTAAAAAATATGAAAAAGTTTTGGGTTATAATGTGCAAAATATTTTATTTTGAAAATGTGTAGTTAAAAACGAATTTTGGAAATAATTTTTTTTTTTTTTTGAAGAATGATAAACAAAAAGTGTTCTTAATATCAGATAAGGAGACATTGTGACAATGACTCCGTTACAACAAAAATAGAGATTATCAACCATTTAGTCTTAGATGAATGTCATAATAATAATACCACCGGCCCACCCCCACACTAAAGAAAACCTTTATGATTGCCCCCTTACGTACCCCACCCCAACAAACGAACTCCCTCGATCCCCAAGAAAACCCTCATTAAGCCCACTGGCCCCTCCGACCCCACCCCAAAGAAAACCCTTATAATATCCCGCTTACATACCGCCACCCCAATAAAGAAACTCCCTCCACGAGAAAACCCTTATTAGGCCCCCTACTCCCCTAGGCACCTCCTCCCCACCCCACTCGAAGAAAGCCCCGCATAAAGCTCCCATCCTTAATCCCATTTTCTTATAGATTGAAGCTCCACATATATTCTGCCTAGCTCTTTTCTCCTGAGTCTTCTTGTATATATACCGTTCCCATTCTCTCTAGTACTAAAAAATTTCTCAGATTTTGCAAATGGACAGTAATCCAGTTCCTCATGGCCTAACACAAGAAGAATTCACAGTGCTAAAACCCATCATCCGCGCCTACCACACCTTTGATCAATTGTCAAACACGTGCACATCCCTCATATTGCAACGCATTGATGCACCAGCAGCACAAGTCTGGCCATTCGTTCGCCGTTTCGACTACCCACAGAAGTACAAACACTTCGTCAAGAGCTGCAACATAATCGCCGGTGATGGTGGCATTGGCAGCATAAGGGAAGTAACCATCGTATCAGGGCTGCCAGCATCAACCAGCACTGAAAGGCTAGAGATTTTGGATGAAGCAAAACGCATTTTGAGCTTTAGGGTTGTTGGGGGAGAGCATAGATTAAACAATTATCAATCTGTTACATCTGTTAATGAATTAATTGACAGAGAAAATAAGGTTTACACCATTGTTTTGGAGTCTTATATAGTTGATATACCAGAGGGAAATACAGAGGAAGATACAAAAATGTTTACTGATACCGTTGTAAAGCTGAATCTTCAAAAGCTTGGAGTGGCGGCTATGGCGGCTTTGCATGGACAAAACTAAATTAATAAGTCAACTGCAAGTTGGAGGATTGTGCTGGAAATGTATAATAATGGTTGTTGTGCCAATTATTGAAGGTGGTTGCGTCTCCATTTTTTATTTGAATTATTTGCTTTCTTGTTGTTAGAAGATAAAATATTTTCATATAAGTAAATGATTTGTCTCTTCTTTAACGTTTTAAACTTTTAAACAAACAAAATGTACTGAATTTAGTTTTGTTGTGCTAATTCATGACACTAAAACAAAGTTTGGTTGCAACACATTCATTAAATTGTGCACGTGTGAGGCATTTAAAGGGGAAAATATAGAATTAATTGAAGATAAAATTTAAACTGAATAAACTGCATGTTTAATTTGTCTATTTTCTTTGTTTGGTGGGTTTTAGGTTATTGACTTTTTATGGTTTGAATGTGAATTCAGTTTAGGTTTGGTGTTATGCATACCCTTTTCTTTCAATAAATGATTGGATAAGAATTTTGACTTAATCTGAAAAGTGGTGTGGCCCCCTTCATATATAATACTCTTTTTTTGGCTCCATTTTAATGAAAATTTGAGAAATAATGAATTTTTTTAAAGAATGTGTGGTTTAAAAAATTTTTAAAAAAATTCGATTTACATGTAATATTATTTTATGGAAAAATGTGTGATAAAAAATGAGTTCGTAAAAAAAATAGTGGCCACACACACACACACATATATATGATTGTGCTCAAAAGTAATTTAAATTTTTAATTTAATTACATATGTTGTCTAATCTAATATATATATATATATATAATGCCTATTGAGAATCATCATAACTGCACAAGAAATATTTTATTATTTCCAGAGTAATCGTTTTTTAATTTCTAGATGAGATTGAAGTTTTGTAAACCTTTTCTTTCATTAAATTCAGTGGCATGTTGAGAGGCTTTCGTATTAGGTTAGTGATGTAAATTTGGTCGAGATGAACCAATCTTGCTCTAAAATAGATCGTGTCCTGAATCGATCCATTTAGAGAGGTGAGTTGAATGTTGCCACTCTCCACACTTTCGACCCGAGACTTCGATAATCGTGTCCTGAATCATAATTATTAAAAGTTGAAAGTTAAACATTTTTTGTATTTCGTTTCAAAATAAATTATAAAAAATGAAAACTTTCAACCCGGGACTTTTGCAACTTCGAATATTTTTCCATAGATCAAACCGACCAACTCAAAGAGAAAAGTGCAGGACATGTCGAGCCACCCGTAACTTTCCACTTAGTCAAGGGACGTGTGACCGTGAATTTGCTTAGCCGCTCCATTGTTTAACTTGTAATAATTATGAGTTGTACCCATCATCCATATCTTTAAGTGATTTGTCATCAATACACCAATTTTAGTTGAGCATTGATCCAAGCTGCATCTTTTTGTATTGTCACTAAATGATATCTACAAATATTGTTGGCTTTGTACTTTGCATTGTCTATTATAAGTCTTAAAGACAATAAATATATAATTATGAATGGATTAAAAGCTCGTCATAAACTTTTGGATTAAGATTAGGATGGAGACTATCGAATACGAGGGCGTAGGCAAGCAACGCGAGTGTGACCTTTTGTTGAGAGGTTCGAAAAAAAAGTAACAGAGAAGTGATTTTTGTAGAGATTGTATTATATTATTTTGACTCATCGTTATATATTATAAACTTGTTTAACTTTTACAAAGTAGAAGACATTATTTTTAGGTTCTATATAGTGCTAAAAATGAAACATTGAGTAATATTTATTATATACAATCGCAAAGATACCAAAGAATAATATTGTGATATTTTGATATCTTCAATGTCCCTTCAAACTCAATATAGTGTTATAGAAATTAAATTGAGTTTAAAAATTAAATTGATGAGAGCAAATAGTCTCGTTGAAAGGATTCACCAAACCGAACCTGTTGGTTGTTGAACAACTAACCAAGTAGAGCACGTAGTACAAATTGGGTGTACGGATATGGACTCAAAGTGCGTATAGCCATGAATCTTATTTGATCCATATTATTTTCAGAATATATTTTGTTCTTTCTTCTTTTCAACTACACATTTTTCAATAAAATAATATTACACGCAAATTCAAAACTTTTTCGTATTTTCTATCGGTCATTCTCTGTCAATCTACTGTTTCAAAATTCATTCTAAAGAAAAATGGGTTCAAACAGGCTTGAAATATCATAGAGAACATGTTGGAGGTGTGTGTGTGGATGCCTGTGAGATCAATTTTGAGCAAGCTTAGTGGTGTTGGACTCCGAATTCAATATAGATTCGAATTTTGACACCAAAAGATAAAGTTGAACAATAAAATTATACTAGACAGTGATGTGATATCGAGAAAAAGAATATTTTTGAGCAAGACATGACAAAAATAACGAAACAAAATGGTTAGACGAGCAACACAAGGTCAGCTGATGGAGAACGAAAGCGAAGATTGTTAAACCCAAAGGCAATAAGCTTTGATATGAAGTCAAATATTGCTTATAGGGTTTCATCTAGTTAGAGATAGCAAAAAAACATACGTTCAACCCGATACCAATGGAGACGGAGATTACCCTCCCTAATTGGGTAAATGTGACACGGTCATTGCCCCGAATAGGGTACAAGTTAATTTTAAATTTAAGTTTTTTATTAAACAAAGATAGAAGATTTATCATTATTTTTAAATAGAACATAAGTTTTCCTTAATAAATTGGAAAAAATGTAATAATATTTACTAACTAAAGACATAAAATTAAATTAAATAAATAAAAAATAAATGAGGGCGATAAATGCCCTTCCTCGCCCCGATCCTGCCACGAACCCATCCCGACCTAGTTCCGACCTTCTTTAACTAGGTATGAGTTTGGAAATAGGGTAAGATGATAAAAATATCCGACCGAATGAGGATGAGAATGATCGATCCGTCCCAGTGCCATCCCTTCATCTAGCTCGAAAAGTGAAAGTTTATGTAATAGACCAATATAAGAATCTAATCATATACCATTGGGAAAAAAACTAACGAGAAAAATAATATGCTATTTTGATGTCTTAAAATTTTGGGAAAATAAAAGTAAAACGGGGATTTATTAAAGTCATGTATGGGTCCCAATGAAAAAAAGAAAAGAAAAGAAAAAAGGTGGGGCGTTAAAGTGCAAGTTTTGCTAAAGGTCTGTTTGATTGCAATGGTGGAAAAGGAGTGGAAAGAAAATGAATTCTAAAGAAAGTAACTGCCTAGAAATTATTTTCCAGGGAATTGTTAATTAAGTGTGTTTGATTGGTATAATTTTCTACATAAAAATTTTTAAATTTTGTGTCCGTTTGGTCTTCGTTTACATCAAAATTGTCCATTAAAGTGATATTTTTTTCCACACTTGGCTATAAAATTTGTTTTCCATTGCAAAAAGTAAAAAAAAAAGGGAAAAAAAAAGTTTTCTAAAAAATCATTTTTTTAATCAAAGTTTAGTATACGTTTGACCTTCGTTTGTATCAAAATTGT